GAGGAGGTCTTGGCACCCGCTCCTGCGCCCCAGCGTCTGGCCGCAGCCACAGTCCCGCCCTAATCCGACCCGGGCAGAGCCTCACCTCGAGGCCAGCTCGGGTCGGCCTCCGCTGGCCTGGCACTGCCCTCTCGGCTCATCCCGGACCCGCAGGAGGGGAGGTTAGACACCGCGATCCTTGTTCTGAAGCTCAGTCTTCACAGTTGGTTTCTAGAGCAGAGTCCGGCCTGTTCCTCCTTCGAGGGCGCTGCTGACTCAGTCTCTCAGTGAGGAGTTCACTTCCACCCGGCCCCTGTTGCCCCTGTGCTTCCACCACACTTATTAACTCTTCAAACCATGGGAGACTGGTGCCTCCTGAGACTGGGGGGGCACAGTTTGTGGGCGGCAGCGTGGCAAGTGGCAACCGCTCGCAGAAGCTGGCAGCAGTTGCAGGGCGGGGGGGCAAGTGGCGACTGCCCACAGAAGCCAGCGGTGGCCAATTTCAGGGGGGCACCCCGCCCCCCATGCCCACCCTACCTGTCTCCTGTGCTTCAAACCTGCTCCTTGTCACTTCAGAGGAGCTCCCTGTATACAGCCACAAGGCTCTGCTTAGTCCCCCTCAAAACTTTGTTGCACTGGGATGTTCAAATGACAGCGGTTAGGCTGCTCATGTGCTTGACAACTGCCTTACGCTGACCAGTACCATCTCTTTGTCTCCTAGTACTCCCTAGCTGTCTGCCTGTGTCCGCTGATTGCCTCCTGTCTTACATTGTGTGGTCTTGAACCAAGAGGACAATCATTTTGTTCTGTTTGTGTATAACACCTGGTGCGATGCGGTTCTGGTCCGTGACCAGGACTCTGAGGTTTTTTGGTAACACAGATCACAGACGTGATTTCTATTACTATAGTGAATACCTTCAGTAAAGGATCCAGACATGCACTGCAGGCTATCCCCCTGCAGAATGGGCCCTGGACCAGACTGACAAGTTGCATGCAGAATGTAGACAGGGTCACTCACACAGCTGCTCCCTTCCAGATTGGCACCATCACCGTCCACATCCACTCAACCTTCTCAATGAAAACAGAACTATTTACCACTAAAAATGTTTACCCTTGGAAACAGCTGGCAGCACTCTGAGGTGATCAGCAGTCTGCCTCCTGGATATGCAGAAAAGCACTTCTGTGACCACAAAATGCTGCTTATAGTCCATAGAAGTTACTTAATCCCATAGGTGACTGGATTCACTGGTTAGTCATATTCATGACTGTGACCAGCAGATGTTGATCCTTTCAGAATATCTTTCCTGTGCCCTGAATTTATCCAAATGCAACTGAGAAGATGAATTCTGCAGACTCTGCTGGTCTGAGCACAGGACTGGGAGCTGAGAGTTTATGAGTTCTGCTGGGGCTCATTTCCTGGGAAAAATCCCTTACATTCTCTGTAGTCTCTCCATAGGGATCATTAGAATTACTTACCTTGCAAGGGTGTGTAAAAAGTATTTTCAGGAGCTGATCAAAAAATGTTGTGATTTAAATGAGAACAGGACATTATCATAGGCATATTAGTAAAAAAAAAAAAAAAAAGGAGAGGCTGAGGTGGAAAGGATGGGAATGGGAAAATAAGGTGGGGACATGCCAGTTTTTAAGTATATAAGTATTGTGATGGCTGGCATTACACAGTCTGTCAGTGACTCTTCAGATTGCTGTAATGAAAAAGTACTGTGGCCAGGTTGTCTGGGTATAAACCGGTACCAGAATTTACACCAAACTTGATTTTGGCCTGTAACATACAGAAAGTCAAGCCAGAGCCCGGTTCTTTAAAGGAAATGGTTTAGAATGGATTATCCACACCCCAGTCAGGCACTCCCTGCCTAGGGAACCTGTGCTCCTTCCACTCTTGTACTGAGGGAATTAGCTCCCATGAGGCTTTCTCCCCCATTGGAGGCTGTGAAATGCTGCTTTACTGCATCCTGGTTTGCAGAACTTTCTCATGCTGAGTCTCAGAATCCGCAGACCTCAATATTTCACCTCCTGGAAGGTGGACCCAAACTCAGCTGCAGTAGATATCAGTGGATGTCCAGGCAACAGGCCAAGGAGAGGCACCCCTTGCCCCCATTAGGTCTTCACTTCACATTAACTGATACGCTCCTTCTCCAGAGGCAGCTCTTTGGCCACTGCTGGGCCCTCTTCCCCACCTTCTCTTTTTTCCCCTCCCCTTTTCTGAGGAACAGTACAGCTTTAAGGGGACGTCTAGCAGATGCAGACGTGAACATCCGGGCAGTGTTAGTAGTGTCTCAGAGGATGCAGGAGCAAACCACTCACTTCGGGAAAGCTAAAGTACAAGTTTCCTGAACAAGCTGAGAGGAAAGAGAGAGAGAGGACAGTGAGCAGAGCAAAGAAATAGGTAAGATCCATTTTTATCAGCTGTTTGACCTCCATCCACAAGGGCTGGAGAAAGTTTTTGATCTAGACCAGTAACTAAGTGGCACTGCCTAGGAGACCTTCTGTGGAGCCAAAGCTGTAGACAGATGTCCCTGCATGCTGTGCAGTGAGAGCGCTGGCACTTTCCTCCACAGAGTCAGGGGGACAGTCTCAGCAGCTGGTTCCACCTCTCATTATAGCAGGTAGAGACACTGAGCAGCAGCCAGTGAAGTGGCAGTGCAGGCATGACCATCTGCTCTACTTTGATGAGGCACTACAAGGGCTCAGGTATCCTGATGATGATGAGCATGGCATAAAATCCTAGATACAAGCTAGTGGAGGGTTTGGAACAACAGAAATGCAAGGGGAGGGAATGCTTGTAAATACATAGATCGGCATCATAAGGGAGGAGCTGAGGTTTCTGTCTTGCTTGCTCTCCCCCTTGAAGTCTGTTTTTTAACCTGTTCAGCAGCACATATGTCCATCTGGCCACATTCCTGTGCTCTTTAGAAGTTCTTCATGCAGCCAAGCTCAGGTTATTGTCAAAGATGGTCCTTAGTCCATCCCTGTGTCTCTCTCCATAAAGCCACTTCTTTTTCTCTCTTTTCCCATCCTCAGCACCAATCTTATTTACTTCCTTTCATTGTCTGTCTTCTGTTCCCTTTCTGTCTATACCTATTGCCCCCTTACTGCTTTCTTTATGTAGCATACACTCTAGTGCATTTGCACTGACCTGAAACTGCAGTAAATCTGTCCCAGTCTGTCTGTAAATGATGTTTGCCTTGCCCCTGGCATCTGCTCTTGTTTCACTGATCTGCTCTCTGCTCCCTGGTTCTGCAAAGAAGAGGAAGATCCACAACTTGAATGTGAGAACTCCAGCAGCAAACAGATTGGGAGAGTCAGTCATAAAGAAACTCTCCTCATATTGCCTGGAGTGAGTCCCTTCTCTAGAAATCCAAGCCTCTCTTGCTCTTGACAGGTGTAGTACTAATTAGGGAGTTTAGCTTCCCTCTCCTGGAAAGCTCTTATTCTCTCTTCTGGAACCCTGTTCACACTGGGTCAGTTCCCTGTTCCTTGTGCAGTCCTTGACACCAGCACAAAGTAAGTGTTTAACCCCCACCCCCCTCCACTTTGCATGCTGACATTCAGTCACTGCACTGGTAGAAATGACTATGTAAAGTATAGCACAATGGGGAATAGGGGCCTAGTAATTTGATTCTGCCTGGGCACATCTACATGTTCATTAATATGCAGTAGTTACTGTGCATTTAATTTAGTACTTGTATAAGCAAGTACTAAATAAATGTGCAGTAACTGTAGTTACTGTACAGTAGAGCTGTCGCACACCTTTTTAGTGACACTACTGCACATTAGCCTAATAATACTGCGCAGTAGTGTATTAGCACTGTTGGTGCTGTGATGCGCTACTGCACAGTACTATTAGGCTACTGCGCAGTTAGCACCTAATGTAGACATGCGCCATGTGTCCTACTGTGATTAATTTGGGACAGGAATAGACCTAGGTTAGAATCGTTTGGCAGAATCCCAGGACCTGGTTTCAAATATTGCTCCCTTCAAGTTTCAACACCTGTCATGCTCTGAGTTGGAGGAACACAGTGATGTTGGTTCATGCCATTTTGTCATGCATCTCATGACATTTTGGCTCTTTCTTAAAGACCAAGCTCCAGGAGTGAGGGGACTATGTGAGAATCTCAACTTCTTTTTTTAAAAGAAAGTTTCTAGACCTTATGGTTACAGAGAAAAAATTTTAAATTTGGAAGGCTCAGAGAAACAGAAGGAAAATAAAACACCGGGTAATTTATTATTTTCCAAAATCTCATGACTTTGAGGGTCTGACTCATGATTTTTGAATGTTTGTAATTGACAAACTTGGAAAAAATCTGGGTCTCATCAGTATGGGCAGGAAAGCAAAGCTGGGGTAGTGAACAAACGTGCGTGTGTATGCATGCTTGCATGCATGCATGTGTGTGTGTGTGCATGTGCATTATTAAAGCTATAACAGGGGTCACTGTTCTGTTTTAAATCCATTTCCCTTCTTTCTAGGCTCCAGTGATTTGTGGTTTCTGTTGTTTTCTGGATTCCTGGAGCTGTAGTCTGCCTGCTAACAATCAGAGAGCTCGGGCACAATTCTTCCTGCTACTGCTCAGCCATCCCCACACACTGGGATGGCACAAGAAGCTGCCCCACTCCTGCTGCTTTTCCTCACAAAGCTGGTATCTTCCACCTGGCTTGAAGGTAAGTGTACATCCTATGCAGGAAAGGTGATCAATGCCAACTGGTGCTAAAAGGCAAGGAGACTGGGATCTAGCTAGCAGGCCTCTCCCAGGGTATCAGCATACATGAATAAAGCAGCAGGGAACAGCTGTAGTTCAAAGCACGGTACAGCAAAAGGAGCAGATTGAAGAAAGTGGAGAAAGACAGCATGGCTGGGCATCCTAAATTTGCTGGAATCCAGGTCAGTTCAGCACCCCTTTTCCTCCAGGAACCTTGGGAACGGTCATCTGCATCAGAATAAGTCAAGGAGTCTGTGTGATGGAAGCCAAAGGAGCCTTAACAGCTTTTAGTCTCCTTGCTCTTCCCTGTGAGGATGATGCTGAGTAGCTCTGACAGGGGTATCGGGGAACGTGCCATTTAAAACGGGCCTGCCCGCCTGATGTGTGTGGTGGGTTTGCTGAGCATCAGAGGCAGCTTGAGATGAGAGAAAGAAGGGAGGAGAGACAGGGGAGGAGATGAGGCATAAAGAAATCAGATGCCCAGGAAGTCAGGGCCTGACTGACATGATTGCTCAAGGCAGCAAGGAGAGCTGAGGTGTCTGCCTTGTTGAGGGTGGGGGAGGGAAGAGAGAGGACAGCAGAACCCATTGGGTTAGGAACTCATCCAGAGATGAGTAAATAGCAAACTCCTCATCACAGCTACAATTGTGGGAGCTAAACTTTTCCGTTTGTTCTCAGCTTCTGGTGGAACTTTTGGCAGGCGACTGTTTGTCTGGAACAGCTGCACCATGCATTCAAAGGAAAACCCAAGCCTCTTCCCAGACTGGGCAAAACAACCCAACTAAAACACCGCAGCCTGTTTGCTGTAGAAATCCAGTCCTTTCCAGCAGCACCCCTTTATCCATCATTGCCCAGCTATCAATTAAGAGACCCTGGAGCCTGTAAAGGCCCCTACAACACTCTGGAAGGCCCTTCTCCCATTTGCAGTTTCTTCTCCCACTCTTGCTTTTCTCTCAGAGACTTGTGATACTTTAGATCCTCCTAGCTCTGTTACTCTGCCACCACACTATATCACTAAATAAATACAGGCTGAGAATGAAAGAGCAGCTTTCCATGTATGCGTCACTGTCTCCTGAAGGGGACGGCTCTGTGACCTCAACATTAGGGTTATAATAAATTATAATAACCAGCCTCCCTGGAACTGCTCATTCAAATCAGAGCAGGGCTGAATCAGCCCACTCTCCCTGTGAGGCAGATGCATTGATTTCTATGCAGTTGGCCATTTGAGAGCCTTGAAGCCAAAGTGCTGTTTGCTTTGAGTGGGTGTGAAAGCTCTCACAGCTTCGCAGCAGAGCCAGGACTTGCTCCAGCATCCTAACCAATGTGGACCATTCTGCTCATTGTGTGCTGGTGTGGTCCCACGAGGAGGTGGCTGGATTTCAGCAGTGTGGTGTAGCATAGGAAAGGCTTTGGGATGAAGGGAATTGTACATTCAGAAGAGCAGGGCAGAAGAGGGGGCATTATACTGTTGGAAGTCATAAAGATTTTCTCAGAGCAGTAGAGGCTTTTTAGAGAGGCTGCTGCTACTTTGTGCTCAAGCAGCAACACTTCTCCTTTTAAACCAAGGATTTAGAGCAGGGAAGAGTAGAAGGAAAGCCAAGTGCAGCCAGAGCAGAGAGAATGTGGTGGAGACGCAGAGTGGTTTTCCACAAGACTTAATCTGCTGTCTCCCAAGTCCATAATGCTGGAGGGAGCCAGGGCCACATGCTCTCCCTGCTCATTCCAGGCTGAGATTCCCTCTCACCAGTCTTTTCATTCAGGAGCCTGGATTGGCTGACTCATTTCTTGAGAAACATCTGGGATTCTGCTCAGTACAGGGATTCAGTTTCAAGACTAATACCAAAATGACATCTGGGGGACAAAGACTAAAAATAGGAGTGAAAATAAGTGTGCTCACTCACGGAAACAGAAATAGTGAGGGAAAGAAAGGGAAGCGGGGGAGGAGTGAAATTAGCTGGCTGGAAGGAAAGGAAATCCAACGGAAACACTATCTCACAGCCGGGGAATGTCCCCAGTCAGTCTATATCATTCATTTGGGCTCCAGGGGCAGGCACTGACCAGGACTAGGAAAAATTTGTGGTCTCCCTGGGCCTCCTTATGGCTCCTAAGGAGACCCCAAACTTTCCGCTAAGGGGGCTCTCTTCCTTTCAGTGTGGGGGAATGTCAAGCCTGAACTCCATTGAAGTGCCACTCTTCCCTGTCTCCCCCCCGACCCCAGGCTGAGAGAGGAATTAGGGCTCAGTTTCCTTTCAGTGCTGGGCATTCCCCCAACAGCCCCACCAGTGGACTCCAGTTCTGCCCTGGGGGGAATCACTGCATCCAGCTGTGAGAGGTGCATATTGTCTTGACTCACCATTTCTTTCCTTCGCCCAAAGGCACTATCCCTTTCCAGATTGAGTGAAGTTCCCCACACTGCTGCCCCACTGCCCCACCCAGCCTCCTCCTGAGATGAGCGGGCAGTTCATTTTCTTTGCTGATTCAGCCCTGGCCTGCCACAGGGAGGCCAGACTAGAACCAGGCCTAACCTAGGAAGGGCTCCCTGTTCTCCATAAAACTGAATGAACAGGCCAGCCCTGTTTGAACAACTATCAGGAGGCATTCGAATGGAGTGATCAGAAGGAAGGCTTCCTGGAATCTTGTTCATGAAAGAACTGGCTTGTCCTCTTTCCAAGCTCAGCTCTGACACTGATTTCCTGTAATAAATTAATCTGGCAGTCAGGCTGTTTAGTCTGCTGGACAGTGCCAGCCACACAGACATGTCACTGCCAACTCAGGTTGGGGAGGGGAAGAGCCCTCTGCACAGATATATGTTCCCTTTTCAGCTCTTTGCTGTGGCTGTGACACTGGAGGACCTGAAACAAGGGCACTGCTGGTTGGAGAGAGTCAGATGCAGGCAAAAAGAAGAATGATGCCTACTGTGTTCTGGGCTAAGCTGTGCAGCTGTTTGCACTTTTGTGGCTGATTGCACTACAGGTCCGTTCTCATTCTGGACTGTCTTCCACCTGCAGTGTGTTCAAGATGCCTGATTCCTCCTTGCTCCATACTGCATAGTCTCTGGTGTGAAGTGCTACCATCCCTAAACTGCAATATCTTACACCCACCTCGCACCAAGGGAGGTGACTCCAACAAGGCTGTGGAGAGGCAGCCTCCCATCCCACCTTTCAGTTCCGCCTCTGTCTCTGCAAAACATTCTTGGGTACCAAGGAGACTACAGGAAGGAGCAGGGATTACAGGTTGCCTGGGGGACAAAGATGGTATTTTAAAAGGGCTGGGAATGCTGTGAGTAGAGAGAGGAGCAGTGTCAGGAGAGGGTTCCCACATACCAGGTCCTCTCAGGACTCGTGTTGGGACAGGTCACTTAAGGAAGCAGATTTACTCCCAGGGGTTCCTGAGATGGAAAATTTCCCAGAGCCTGACCTCAGGGAGAGCTCGTGTAACCACTTCTGTGCAGACCGAAGTAAGTGCCTGTTAAGTGCAGTGACGTGACCTGAGGATTAGTCCCAGCCTGGCCAGTAGAAATAAGGTGCCTAGGCAGGGAATGCCACCTTCTCATTCTCTTCTGTCTCTTCTCCCTCCCCAGGCTCTGGCTACCATGCTGCTGAGACATACAACAATGAAGTGTATGTAGAGGAGACACCGCACACTCCAACCCTGGACTACCGAGGTAACAACTTCTTACTGACCACCCTCATGGCTGTCAGTATCTCCAGCAAAGGAGGTCTCATGGGGCTGGGCACCCAATCATTTAGACTTTGGTATAACCAGCTATATGCTGCATCATGCTGCTTAAGCCCTTGCCATGAGTCACGTATTCCAAGGTAGAACAGTCCCCTTCTGGAACACTGGTTCCCCTCCTTCCTGCTCTATCCTTAAGTACTAATGAGCAGAGAGAGGTAGTTAGTCGTATGAGTCTGAAATCAGGCAGAAGGCTGGGTAGAGATGCACCTTGTAGACCAACTCAGTAATGCTCAACATTTTGGCCACGTGGGCCAAATGAGACCTGTGGGACCACTCCATGGGCCAGATCAGACCCCACATGCTGGGACTGGGATCAGGCACCGGGGCCCCAAGCCATCTCCACCCAGCCCTGCATGCTGGGATTGGGCCTCATGCCACCCTACATGGGAAGACCCATGGGCCTGTGATGACATAGTGTCATGGACTGGATCTGGCCCACAGGCTGGGGGTTGAGCAGCCCTGGACTGACTGAATCAGAGTTGTATAAAAACTCCCTATAGCATCTGACAAAGTGAGCATTGCTCACGAAAGCTTATGCATCTGATTCTGTTAGTCTATAAGATACACCTCTGCCCTGCCTTAGGTACTCATGTGAGCCCATTACCCCTAATGTGAGCATGTTGTCATTTTCAAAGGATTCATTCTCCCAAGAGCCCTGTGAGGCAGATGCCATTTTCCTCATAGCACAGATGGGAACTGAGGTGCGTAGCTAAGCAGCCTGCGGGGGCCCTCTAGGAAGGCTGTGGTGGAGTGAGGAATTGAATCCATATTTCCCATGGCCTAAACTGGCACAATAACCCCTGCAATACCCTCCCCTCTATGTCTCCTTAGTGCCTCAGTGGTGCTACCCATTAAGCATCCACCATGGAGAGGCAATCTGCTACTCTCCCCTGGGAGGGAATTACCGCAGCAGCCTGGGGACACGCTGTGAACTGTCCTGTGATCGAGGCTTCCGGCTCTTCGGGCAGAGGTCGGTGCAGTGCTTGCCAAGCCGTCACTGGTCTGGGATGGCCTACTGTAGACGTAAGTGCTGCAGACATATGATGTTGTGTGCAAGCATGTGACATTCTGTCTAGTGCCTGAGAACATGCCAGAGCGAGGTGACCACAGTGCATGGGTTACAGAGGAATCAGGAGAGAAGAAAATGAGCTTGCTATTACACACTGCACATGGCTCTGGTACTTGTGCTGCTTCCTGTCCCTGAATGCTGCACCTTGGTTCTACTCAGATCCAGTTTCCCCTCACTGCTGGCAGTCCCTACTGGTCTCACCTTGTCAGCACTTGCCCACTCCTCTTGCTTGGCTGCAGCCCCTGCAGTACCTTTGTTGCCTTCTATTTTAATTGTTATTGGTTTTTACACCACAGAAATCATTTGACAGAGAAGGGACAGGAAGTGGGTGAGGGAGGCAGCCTTTGAAGCTGTATTTGGTTAAAACCAAATGACAGTGTTGCCATCTCTCTCAATTTTATCACAATGCTTATGATAGCTACTGTTTCTTGTAATGCTCCAGCTCCTGGATTCAAGTGATTAGAGAAAATTCAGCTTTCATTGAGAAGGGAAGTTCCTAACTTCACATTCCTAGTTCCAAGCCAAAGCACATGACCAAGACACCTTCCCAGCTCCCAGCACATCAGACAAATAAAATAACCCCTGTATTAGTATTCTAATCTCATGATTTATGAGCTAGTCTCATGATTTTTTTTGAGGCCTGACTCATGGCTACACTATGCTGGTGATAGACAGATGATGGCACATGTTGAGAGACCCACCATTCTGTCCCACACTGTGAAGAGATCCGAGGGGCACCCTGGCCCCTGGAGCACACATAGAGAATCAGTCTCTTCCCCTAAGTTCTTCTAAGACCCCCTTACTGGAGTGTCTGGCTGCATGCACAATCAGCTCTTTGTCACCATGTCCTTTCTACCTCCTGCTCCCCCTTCTGGAGTTTTTCCATGAGATTTTCTCCTGGAATTCCATCAATTCTGTCATCATGGAGGCATTAAGACCTGCAAGCTGTCTGGCCTAAGCAGTCCTGAATCAGATGTTTCCAGCAGTAATATCTCCAACATCTGCTGAGCAGATCTGCTCTTTTTGTTGCAGAGATCCGGTGCCACGTGCTGCCAGCATTGCACTATGGTTCCTACCAGTGCACAGCAGGGGTACTGGTGGACTCTCGTTGTGACTATGCCTGCCTCCCGGGGTACCAGCTGGAGGGTGACCGCACACGGATGTGTATGGAAGATGGGCGATGGAGTGTCAGTGAGCCAATCTGTGTAGGTAAATCTCACCCTGCCATCCTCACAACCATGGAGCATGTGCCCAGCTCACCCTGGGCACATGCTCCAGAATTCATCCCCAGTGCCTGCTCCACAGAGATTCTGTTAGCCACATGCTATATTTCCCATGCCTGCTTCCAGGATACAACTAAACCCAGATAATCCCAGATCACTACCCCTGGGAACATGACACTGCTGGGTCAAGGTAATTTCCCCATGGTTTCTCCTGCTTCACCTCCTCAAAGGCATTGTTGTCTCCATGGTTTAGATAGGTTGCGTGCCCCAGGAGCATACATCTTTGCAATGTGGGATAGGCCCTACCTCCCTGTTGCTGGATATTATTGTCCCTCTGGGCTATTACAGCTCTTAAGCCAGGGGCACTGCTGTCTCCCTGGTCTGTTCTGGGTGGCATCCTGACTCCTGATGCCCCTGTGACTTTTATTGTCTCTTCCCAGCATCTCCCTCAATCCTCACCTGTTTTGTACTATCCACCTGGCCTACACAGTTACCCTGTTTATTTCTGCTTTGCTTGAGCAGACATTGAGCCCCCCAAGATCCGATGTCCCGACTCACGAGAGAGGATAGCAGAGCCAGAGAAACTGACAGCCACTGTGTACTGGGACCCCCCTCATGTGAAGGACTCTGCTGATGGCATCATCAAACGGTGAGCAGGAGGAGTGGGCACTCCAACCCTTGGCCCACATGCATTTATGATGGCTTTGCAGCCTTGAAATCTGTTTTGGGATCAAAACACTGCAGTATCATGCATCCTGAGGCATGCACACTCTCTCTTTCTTGGTTCAGTGTGACACTGCGGGGCCCAGAACCTGGGTCTGAGTTTCCAGAAGGGGAGCATGTTATTCGTTACACCGCCTACGATCAGGCTTACAACCGAGCCAGCTGCAAATTTGTTGTCAGAGTTCAAGGTGAGGGAGAAGTCACCCCTGTCCTGTGATCCCTGGCTGAAGGGGCAGTCTCACTCACTCCCAGGACAGGTGGGACCTCTAAAGGGCTTCCAGTTTCCCTCAGCCCCAGGGAGGCTTGCTGGCTCTGTACTCTGAAAGATGTGAGTGTATTTCATGCTTCTCCTTGACCCCAGCTTTCCCTTTCACAGTGAGTCGCTGCCCTGTGCTGAAGCCACCGCAGAATGGCTACCTCAGCTGCACCTCTGCAGGCAATAACTATGGCGCCATGTGCAACTACTTCTGTGATGGGGGCTACGATCGCCAAGGAACCCCCTCACGCATCTGTCAGTCCAGTCACCAGTGGTCAGGATCACAGCCTACTTGTGTGCGTAAGTGTTGCATGGAATCACAAGGAGGGACACATGCACGGTGATGCTCTCCCCAGGGAAGACTGGCCTGTGTCTTGTGAGGCAACTGGAACAAGGTTGAAGAACCAGACAGCACCCTTAGTGCCACCTGCCATATGTCACATACCCAAGTGCCAGGAGTCAAGGCCCTAACATCAGTTAGCAAGGTACCTTACTCAGAGCATGGGCTGCCTCCTTGCATGGGCTTCACTGCAACAGGAGTTATATTCCTCTAAGAATAGGAGCTCCCTTATATCTACAGTTGAAGACATTTACAGAAGTGAGAGAGGGGAGAGCCAAGACCCTGTCATATGCCAAGAGGTGGAGAAACTTCACTGGGTCCCTCTCAGACATCATGTCACCCACTGGTGATCATCCACAGCAGGTAGGGGAGGTTTCCAGTTGTCTCCAGTGCACAGGCCAAGCCTCTGCCCACAGTTCTGCCAGGACTCCTGCAGCCATGTCTGAGCCAGCACAGGCCTTTGCATCCCACCAGGGACAGGGGCAGGCAGGACCGTCTTGTTCAGGTGTTCCAAATTCTTGGTTAAGTGCACAGAAGAGAGACCCCAGGTCACTAGCCACCTGCAGCCTTGTGAAACAACCCCCAGAGGCCCAAATGAGACCTGTCCTGTGAGGAGAGGGTTCAGGTTTTCAGGTGGATGAGATAAGGGGAAAGGAACAGCATAGCACTGCATTCCCTGGTGGTCACCAGGCCTCTCCTTCTGGCTCTGGCTTGGCCCAATAGCCCCTCACTCCAAGTTCACTCCCAGAGTAGAGATTTGATACTTTATTTCTCTTGCTGTTAATGTCACCCAGGCCAGCAGGGAGAGGGCCCAGGGGTAAAGCTGGGCTCTACAGTCTCATGTTTCATTTCTCAGCAACATATCAGGGCCCAATCCAAGCCCTCAGCCCCACCTGCTTGACCTCTGGGAAAGCTGGAATCTATTTTATAACTGGCTCCTCTCCACATAACAAGCCAGAGCTAAACCCAAACCTGCAGTGGAGCCCTGCAAGCCCCCGGGGAGGGCTGCACCTCACGACCTACATCTGATTGCCCTGTAAACCGAATGCTGCCTGTCTGAGAGCAAATCCCCCTTGTGTCTCCATAGAAACCAGGAGAGTCCTGGGCACAGAATAAGACTAACCCCCCCCAGCCCTCCCTAGACTGGGCTAGACAGAAGGCCCCTGGTCACATCCCTGCATCCACCATTGCTTACAACACCGAGTACTGCTGCTCCTCTCACGTTTCCCAAAGCAAATCAAGGGCAAGTCCAGACAAGCGGACAGAGATCCAGACCCTTACTGGTTTCAGCCACTGGTTCAGACACTGGCAAGCACCTCCTGGTGGGGGCATGCCTGCAGAGCTAACACATTCATCAAATCATAGAGCAGGTGGGCTGGAAGGGTCCTCTGTGGGTCATCTAGTCCAGCCCCCTGCCAGAGGCAGGACCATCCCTATCCAAACCATCTTATACAATCCAAACCTCAGGAGGCTAGACATACACCTGGCTGGGGTCATCTGACCCCAGCGCTCTTTCCTGCCCGGTGCAGGGGGTCAGACTCAATGATCTGCTAAGGTCCCTGCTGACCCAAACATTTATGAATCTTAGTAAAACTACCGTCAACCCCGACACAATACATTATCCATTATCACAGCAGTGGCCAAAAGAAAACCACAACCATCTAGCCAAATCTAGAGAGTGGGAGGTTGGTCTCTCTGGCATTCTTGTGTGCCCAGGGCTGCCTTGGTTTCCATGGACAGGCGAGGAGGATTTGTTCCTCACCAGGCAGATGGAGCCTGCTGCATTATCGATGGAGCTTCCTTATTGATCTGTACAGCTCGGTCACAGTGAGCGTCATTGCTGCAGGCCAAATCTCTACAGAAAGATGGATCTCAGCACCTATGACCTGCTCCCTTGCCACCTAGTGGTTAGAGACTAAAAGCTATCACATCTAGTCAAAGAACCTAGCCTGCCTAGAGACTAAAAGCACCTACAAGCCCCAGCCTGCTGCATTTCTGGGTCCCTTCTCCACAGTCTCAATGTAAATTGCCCCAAGGGCTGTGACTCAGGTCTGTGGGGTGACTCCTCCTAGGATATTTTCTACCCTGTGCTGGAGATGCTGGCAACATGCTTCCTGCTGGGAGAGTGAACAGAAGTCAGAGTCTGGGGAAGATACCTCATCCTGGGAAAAGAGACATAAGTGCTGGTTATGGGGTAGGCGAAGCTAGAAAATGCAGGGAGGGGTGGGGGGAGAGGGCCTCATTTGTGCTCAGTTCTAACCTTCCTTGCTTCAGCCATGCAGATCAATGTGGATGTGAACTCAGCAGCAAGCCTCCTTGATCAGTTCTTTGAGAAACGCCGGCTCCTGATTGTCTCTGCTCCTGATCCCTCTGACCGCTTCTACAAGATGCAGATTGCTATGCTGCAGGTGAAGCCCCTTCCCCTGATGTAACCCCCCTCCACACCCCCAGCTAGTGCCCTCTGATCTACTCTGCTCTTCTCCTTAGCAAGCCACCTGTGGGCTGGACCTACGTCACATCACCATCATCGAGCTGGTGGGGCAGCCTCCCCATGAGGTGGGACGCATCCAGGAACAGCAGCTCTCAGCCAGCATCATTGAGCAGCTCAGGTACCAGCAATAGCTGTTGGGGCAGTGGGAAGAACAACTGCAAAGAGATCAGAGGCAGGACTACAGAACCCAAATCAGCTGGTGGCTGTAGCATGTTGATAGTGCGGGGCTGGTGGAGCACTGGCTGCTTCTAGCAAGAGCTGCTGCTGCTGCCTTTGCTGAGGTGGTGGGGTCATATGCAGGTGGGACTGAAATCCCTGCTGTTATCTCCAGTACTGAATGGGGTGGGTGAAATCACTCCAGGAGACACCTACTGTAGGTAAAACACACCCTGACACTCAAGCACTGGCTATTCAAACCCTGCTTTGAGCATGGGGGACAGCCACAGTGCCCTGGGGAGCTGGGCTGCCAGCACTGCTGCCTTGAGCTGTGCAGGGTTGGAAAGAGAGACAAGCCCTGCTGCTGTACCATACTGCAGCATGTGGTTGTGGCTGGATTGTACCAAGCTACTCGGAATAACCTAGGGTCTCTTCAACTGTCCTGCTCCAACAGGAGACTGGCCTGGGGAGCACTGACCTTGAAATGGCAGCTAGAGCAGGGCAGGTAGACTGTAGTCATTTAGACAAGCAAACAGCACAGGGTCATGTTGCCAACAAGACAGGAGGTGCTAAACTCTCATAGTTTCATAGTTGGTAGGGTCAGAAAGGACCTGAGCAGATCATCAAGTCCAACCCCTTGCCATGGCAGGAAAGAGCACTGTGGTCAAATGACCCCAGCAAGGTGTTCGTCTAACCTCCTCTTAAAGACCCCCAGGGTAGGAGCGAGCACCACTTCGCTTGAAAGTTGGTCCCAGATCCTAGCCACCCTGACAGTGAAGTAGCGCCTCCTGATGTCTAGTCTGAATCTACCTTCTGCCAGCTTGTGACCGTTATTTCTAGTCACTCCTGGTAGTGTTTGGGGGAACAGGGACTCCCCCAATGCCTGCTGGGCCCCCCTGACTAGTTTGTAACAGGCCACTAGATTCCCCCCTCAGCCTTCTCTTGTGGAGGCTGAACAGGTTCAGGTCCCTTAGCCTCTGCTCGTAGGGCCTGCCTTGCTGCCCCCTGATCATGTGGGTGGCCCTTCTCTGAGCCCTCTCAATGCTGTCCACGTCCATCCTGAAGTGCAGCGCCCAGAACTGGAGGCAGTACTCCAACTGCGGCCTGACCAGTGTCACATAGAGGGGAAGGATCACCTCTTTGGGCCTGCTTGAGATGCATCTGTGGATGCATGACAAGGTGTGGTTGGCTTTCCTGACCGTGTCCCCACACTGTCAGCCCACATCCATTTTGGCATCAATAATGATTGCAAGATCCTGTTCTGCCTCTGCACTGACGAGAAGGGACTTCCCCAACCTGTAGGTATGCTGCTGGTTCTTCCTCCCCAGGTGCAGTACCCTGCAATTGTCAGTGTTGAAACCCAGCCTGTTCTCATCCGCCCACCTCTGTAACCTGTCTAGGTCCAATTGCAGCCTATTCCTCCCTTCTAACGTGCCCACATCCCCCCCCCCACATCTTAGTGTCGTCAGCAAATTTTAACAGGGTGCTTTTTAGACCCTCGTCCATGTCACTGATGAAGATGTTGAACAGTGCGGGTCCAAGGACTGAGCCCTGGGGGACCCCACTGCCCACATCCCTCCAGGTCGAAAATGACCCATCCACCACCACACCCTGGGTGCGACCCTCCAGCCAGTTAGTGACCCATTTAACTGTGTAGGTGTGGATGCCACAGTCCGCTAGTTTTTTAATGTGAATGGGGTGAGAGAGAGTCTTTCTGGACTTCAGGAAGGCCTTCGACACTATGTCCGCTGCAACCCCTGCGTCTAAGGATTTTGTGACCTGGTCATAGAAGGCCACCAGGTTGGTCTGACAGGACCTGCCTCTAACGAATCA